CAATTAAATCTTGTTGGTTGATGATGTCAAGTTTTTCTACATCTTCACTGATTTTCTGTCTGTTGTTTTATCAATATTAAGAGGGGAGTGTATCTAATGATAACCTGAAATATGTAACTGGAATGCATAGGCGCAAATCATATCAGAAGCCAAAATGTAGAGTGGACATCAGTCAACATAACATATTTGTGCATGAGCTGAATATCAGCCTTGAATACATGTCAAGAGGTATGGAAAAAAGATGACACTTTGATAAGTACTAAGTAACTAGATTCAATAAAATGTAATGACCAGTAGAGTGTGAGATGCAAGGAAAATGAACTTAAGAATCATTCGCAGATTCTCAGTTTGCATTACTGCATGAATGGAGGTAACATTACCAGAAACACAGAGTGCGCTGAAGGAAATATGGTTTGCAGGGTGGGGTGGAGATACAGAACTCAGTTCATGTCATCTTGAGCATAAGATGTGTAAAGACTATTCAGAGATGTCTAGCAATAGGTTAGTACTCAGCAGGAAAGTCAGATATAAAAAGGGGATTTAGGAGCCATGATTTAATTAATGGTCTTCAAATATAACTGCTTGGAGATTATCCAGGAAACGTAAGCAGAGTAAGAAAATAGAGCAAAGACTATGATCCTGCTAAACTCTAATGTTTAGGACCAAAGTGAAAGAAACAAAGAGAAGAAAAGAACAAGCTGTCAGGATGGAAGGAAGAAAACGAGGAGTAGAGTTTAATTCAGTTCCACAAGTATTTGTTAATTGTGTAGTATGTGCTATGCACTGTGCTGTGAAACTGGCTTTTATCCTCTTCTAGATGATAGCCTCTTCTAGATATAAACGTATCATTTCAGTACAGTGTGGCCAGCTCAGTGACAGACATATGCTCGAAAGCAACAGGACCACAGAAAGAGGCACTGCACATGGCCCAAGATCGTGAGAGGAAACTTTCAAGACATAGTAACATCTAAGCAGAGTCTACAAGGAGAGTAGGAGTTAACAAGAAAGGAAAGAAGGAGGAAAGTCATAGCAGATAAAAGAAACAACATGAACATTAGAAAAGGAGCGTGGAGCTCAACAGAGAGGAAAGGATCACCTAAAAGAATGGTCAGTAGGGCTGAACTCTAGTAAGAGAAAAAATAAATTCAGATTAAAGAAGGCCCTTTGACTTTGTCACTTATGAAGTCACTGGTGACCCCATCTGCAGCAGTTTCTATGAAATGAAGTGAACATAAATCAGACTACAGTGAGATAAGGAGTGACTGAAAGAACATGAGGTTCAGGAATGTGGGCAGGATATTTTTTCAAGGAACTTAGTGGAGAAGAAAATAAAGATGGCCTAGCTGATGCAGCCATAAAAAAGGATGAGTTCATGTCCTTTGTAGGGACATGGATGAAGCTGGAAACCATTATTCTCAGCAAATTATCGCAAGGACAGAAAACCAAACACTGCATGTTCTCACTCATAAGTGGGAATTTAACAATGAGAACACTTGGACACAGGAAGGGGAACATCACATACCAGGGCCTGTCATGGGGTCAGGGGGAGGGAGTAGGGATAGTATTAGGAGATATATCTAATGTAAATGACCAGTTAACGGGTGCAGCACACCATCATGGCACATGTATACATATGTAACAAACCTGCACGTTGTGCACATGTACCCTAGAACTTAAAGTATAATTTAAAAAAAAAAGAATGTAATATATTGCCTGGCATATAATAAGTGTTATGCAAATGTTTGTTACATAAATAAAAGGAAAGATCTGAAAAAAGAAAAAACTTGATGGCATAGCTAGAAGTAGACAAAGGTCTAAAAGACTTGGTTTTATGATCAGAGAAAGTTAAAGACATTTATAAGTTGTAGAAAACAAGCCAGAGTACATATACACCATGGAATACTATGCAGCCATAAAAAAGGATGAGTTTGTGTCCTTTGTAGGGACATGGATGCAGCTGGAAACCATCATTCTCAGCAAACTATCGCAAGAACAGAAAATCAAATACCGCATGTTCTCACTCATAGGTGGGAACTGAACAATGAGATCACTTGGACTCGGGAAGGGGAACATCACACACCAGGGCCTATCATGGGGAGGGGGGAGAGGGGAGGGATTGCACTGGGAGTTATACCTGATGTAAATGATGAGTTGATGAGTGCTGATGAGTTGATGGGTGCAGCACACCAACATGGCACAAGTATACTTATGTAACAAACCTGCACGTTATGCACATGTACCCTAGAACTTAAAATATAATAATAATAAAAAAAGAAAACAAGCCAGAGTGCAGAGAAAAGGTTTTAAATTGTGGCTTACTTCAGTCAATTATTCACACAACAAATATTTATAGAGCATCTACACTCTACTTGACCAAATCATTCCAACATAGAAACAAACAACCCTCTATCACAGTGTTAATATCATGTTTTAAATAAAATTGAGAAACAATAAAAGCCCATGGTAAATAGTGCAAAACATGTATCTCAATTCTAAAGCAGCTTAATACTTATAACCACAAACACGTAGCATCTTTGGCTTTGTCATATTTATGTAACCAATGCCACAATTCAATATAAATATTCAGTATAGAGGTTTAATTTGTTTACTTCAAGAGAAATGATTTTAATTAAAAAATTATATTACAAAGACAATGGTATGAAATGATTTGTCAAGATTATTTTGTTTTAATTATTACAAATACCTAAATGCATATTCAGTATGCAAGATAGAAAAGCACTATACAAAAGATGTAGAGTAGTATATGAATTCCCAAAAGCATATCAAGTCTGCAAGATATAAAAGCATGATACAAAAGTGTAGAGTAGTATATGACGGTTTAATACTTGTGTCAAAGTCAACCTTAATATTTCTTAGCATTCAGAGACAGAAAACCAGCCAGTTAAAAATGAAAGAACACAAATGGTCTTTAAGTGATGATGAGGCCTGGAGTATTCCAGAAAGATTGAGAATAGCCTCTCATGTTTTCAAATTCATCGACTTGCAGAAATTTAAGACTGCAAATTAACTTGAAATCATTTAATACTATTCTCCACACCCCACATATAAAATTCCCTTTACTTCACAATCCTTATCTGGTATTGACAGAACACTTACGTGAAAGAGAGCCTTATATTTGAGAAGTTGTCCATTTGTTCTACTGCCAAGCATTTAAATTTGTCTCTGATTATTCCCAAAATATAACCCTCTGTAACTCTGCATTACAAGACAACATAATTTATATGTAGCAACTTTTTAAACATCAAAATATTATTATAGTATCTGCACATTAAGTGTATTATTTGTCAGACTAGTCATTCCTAATTCCTTCTTTTTTTTTTTTTTTTTTTTTTTTTTTTTTTTTTAGATGGAGTCTCACTCTGTCACCCAGACTGGAGTGCAGTGGTGCAATCTCTGCTCACTGCAACCTCCGCCTTCCAGGTTCAAGTGATTCTCCTGCCTCAGCCTCCTGAATATCTGGGATTACAAACATGCATCACCATGTCCGGCTAATGTTTGCATTTTTAGTAGAGACCGGGCTTCACCATGTTTGGCAGGCTGGTCTCGAACTCCTGACCTCAAGTGATCCACTTGCCTTGGCCTCCCAAAGTTCTGGGATTATGGGCGTAAGCCAATGTGCCCAGCCCACCTCTTTCTTGTATACATTATTTTCATGCTACTCTGTTATTTCAGATCCTTGCTTTTTTTTTTTTTTTTTTTTTTTTTTTGAGGTGGAGTCTCACTCTCTTGCTCAGGCTGGAGTGCAGTGATGTGATCTTGGCTCACTGCAAGTTCTGCCTCCCGGGTTCAAGCCATTCTCCTGCCTCAGTCTCCAGAGTAGCTGGGACTACAGGTGCCCACCGCCACACTCAGCTAATTTTTTTTTTTTTTTGTATTTTTAGTAGAGACGGCGTTTCACTGTGTTAGGATAGTCTCGATCTCCTGACCTTGTGATCTGCCCGCCTCGGCCTCCCAAAGTGCTGGGATTACAGGCATGAGCCACCACACCCAGCCTTTCAGATGCTCTCTAGTAATTTAGTGATTTTTTAAAATCATCTTGGTTAAACTGAATACAAATTTTCAAATGTGGAAGAGTAAAGTAAGATTATATCATTGTACATGGTGAGTAATTTTTAAAAACAGTCCTACCAACAGCTTAAGTTATGGATGCTATAATACCCAGAGATTTGACTACATAAACTATACCAACCCAAATTTTCCCTATTTCATTTCTGTATTTTTTAATTTAAATATAAAACTGTAAAGATTTATGTATTTTTCCATCTTGTTAAATTTGTCCCAAAAGTCCAAGGTCATTTTGAAAGATAATATAGCAAACTACTATATTAGTTATCCCTCCAAGACTTCGATCTTCTACAGATCTGATAGGTATGTTATTCTAAGTCTTTATACAAGACATTGATAAAGGTCAATGGAATAGGCATATAAAGGAAATTTTCTGTACACAAAGAAATCTTCTTCCTAGGTGACACTGATACATTCATCGAATTTTTAAACAATTATTTATTCAGCTATAAATCTGGTCAGTCTATATTCCTATGCCTTATACACAGAGCTTTATTAGAAATCAAGGAAAGTTATTTATTTAAAATTGAAACAACATGACTTTGGAAATCCATGAATCCTATGAAAATAAAAAAGGTGAATCTACATTGCTCGCCTTGTGACAACTATTTTCTAGGACTCTAAAATCAGTATCAGTTTGCCAGTAATTTCTAGAAATCTGTTAGGGATAGATATAAAGCTTGTTTTTGTGTGTTCTTCAGAATTTAATTCTGAATGTTCAACAAAATTAAAATAACTGGCTAATATTTCCTACATATCCCTTTCTCTTTTGAAATTATATTTTTAACTGGAAGAAGATAATAATAATGTCCCCTGCCCCACCCCAATTTTTCTGATCCTACTCAGGACTGCTTCATGAACAGTTTTAATAAAATAAATAGTATCTATATGTGGTATTAATTTTACTTTATTACCTCATATAAAACTGTTGTGTTCCCATGGAGAAGAGGTCCATAGCAGATATAGGAATGTCCAACAACCCAGCCTAAGTCAGAAGCTGCCCACCACACCTAAAAAATAAGATAATAAAATGCATATATTTTATTCAGAGAATGTTATGTAATGTGAATTTAAAACCACGATTACCTCTCCAGGTTGAAGTCCATATATGGAAGACATTGACCAGTTTAGCATGACAGCGTATCCCCCAGTGGGTCTAACCACACCCTAAGGAGAGAAAAAGTGAAGTTAAAATCAATAAACAATGTGTAAAAACACTCTCTATCTTCATAGCATCCACTTTAAAAGTTCCTGGTCAAAAGTATTTTATATATTAGCTACAAGTTACTTTGGCTTTTATAAAATTATCTTTGAATCATTATTTCTTTGGGTCTTTTAATAGTCACCACAAAATAATTGTCTTTATTAGTACCATTTTTAGAATCCATTCTCACATTATTAGTCTTCTAAAGAAAACATGATTTCACAAAATTACATGCAATACAAACTTTTCTAATAGCACCACACATTATCAACACTACATTTTCAGACGTATTTCCAGAACAAAAATTAGTGTGAAGAAAGGTAAAATGTAGTTATATGCCTCAAATACAGACTAACATAAGGACCTCTGTTTCTTAAGATGATTAAATAATAATAGCTGCTTAGAGGAAACAAAGTCATAATGTAACTGAAATCTCATTGCAACACTTCACTGAGGATCATGCAAGCACACTTTAAAGCTGAGCAATTCTTTCATTATGAACTCTAGAACTCTTAAGGATGAATTCCAGTGAATTGAATTTAGATTAAAAGATTTGTCTTATATTGCATTTTGGACAAAAGTAGGGATCGTCATATCATTGTAGTACAGTTTTCACAAATCAGTTTCAAGTAGTTTTCCCCAACACTGGGAACATATTCAACCTCAATACAAGACTAATATTTGAACACTGGATACAAATGTCACCATAAATAAGAACTAATAGTAAATTTAATAATTAAGTTCATGTATTGTTTTAAAAAACGTTAATTGTCATTGGCTCAGTAAGACATAACTGAGTGAATACTCAGAATGAGTCGGTGAACACCTGCTGAGAGATAGAAGGTATATTCCACTCACATGTATTTTGAAGCATCTTTTAGTACAACAATTATAACTGCTCTATGCAAAGAAAAAAAAGTGATTTTTATGAAAGGGCAAACATGGATGTAATCAATAACTGTGCTATTAATTATGCTTTTTGGCATAGCGCTGCACCTTAACACACATACACAACTCAGGAAAATGAAACAGAAATTGACTTTCCATTAGTTACTAAAATTGCTGCTCTCCTCAGGTGCCACTAATAAAACATAGGTATCATGCTGTGGAACATTATTTTATTCACCAGTAACAACACCTGGTCTCTTAGCAAATATCAGATGCAACTTTGTTGGTATTTGAGAGCTATTTTCTAGGTCGTATGACATGGTTAGCATGCAGCTGGCCCTCTTGATCTCCATGGGAACATTAGACATTCTAAGCCCCATGCCAGTAGGTTTTACACATGCACTTTCCCATGTAAACGAAACAGTTATTTTCCCACTATATCCTATCCTATCTCCCATGCACTTTGCTAGTTTGTTCTATTGAGATCTTTTCCTATGGCTCAACAGATTGATTGAATCTGGTATTAATCAAACTGCAAACACTTCATAAAAACTATTCGTTTTACAGGCTAGAAAAAGTAGTTTTTTGTAGACAATACGCTGTCCATGTGTTATGACAGATAGTGATACTTAATATCAGTAATAATTTCACTTAAAAATGTTTTAAAATTTTCTCTCCATCCTACATGTCCCTGCATTTAGAACCCATTTTTATCAGTAACTCTAAATATTATTATAACTAGGTAAATGTTTAGACCATATGGTACAGAGGGTAAGATGCATTGACTAGAAATGATGACAAGAAATAAAAGGCGAGGGAAGACATAACTGAGCAGTAATTCAATTGTAAAACCTGAAAGATAAATGTAAAGGATAAGTTGTCAAATTTCTATTTACCTCTCAGATGAGTACTTCTTCAAACGACATTTACCAATGTCACCCTGTCTGTAAATTAGTGAATACTTAAACCCATCCGACCAAAAAAAGAGACTTAAAAATGAGACCATGCATGAAAAAGCATTTGAAGTTGTAAAGGCTAAAATTTAATATCTCATTAACAATATTATTTCCTTAGTTCTAGCAATTATTGCTTTATATTTTACCCTGTGCTCCTATCAGTCAAAAGGCATAAATGTCAAAATAATTAGAGGTTGCCATCAAAGATTCTCATTTAAAACAATTAAAATGAAGCTGAAGGAATGAGAAGAGCCATAATTTATGTTTTTCATTAGTCATTGATACCCACTTACTTTTATTTTTTAAAGAATGAGTATACAAATTTTAATCAAGCATCTTTTTACCATTTATTAATTTAGACTCTAGATCTGCAATTTGGTCTTGCCTCCCAAATGCTCAGATAATACAGTTTCAAATTTCTGGGTATTTGATATGGTGCAGAATAAAGAAACACATAGTTTCATATTCTCCAGGTTCACCTTTTATAAGAGGTTTGAAAGCACAAAAAACACAAAGGTTACATTTCAAGAGAATTTCTTTAGCATAAATATTAATTTGTGACAAAAATAAGATGATAAAGCATTTTTGTTTCCTGTTTATAATCACATTATCCAGGTAATGAAAATTAAAATGCAAAAGAGAAACACCATTCAGCCTCTGAAAACACATAAATTATGCTCCAGAAAACAAATCATTATACTATAACTAAGCAAATTTTGTTGGAAACTAAAAATACCACTTTTACAGTAGTAGATCTGAATATGAAGTAAAAATACTCAACACCAATGCTTACCTCTAAAACACAAACCTTCTTCATTTTAGTCTTTTGAATCTCTATTATTTATTATTACCTTCTATATGTGCTTTTTTCTTTTCCTTTGAGAGGGAGTCTTGCTCTGTCACCCAGGCTGGAGTGCAATGGCATGATCTCACTCACTGCAACCTCTGCCTCCCAGGTTCAAGCGATTCTCCTGCCTCAGCCTCCCGAGTAGTTGGGACTACACAGGCATGCCACCATGCTCAGCTAATTTTTTTTTTTTTTAGTAGAGACAGGGTTTCACCATGCTAGCCAGGATGGTCTCGATCTCCGGACCTCGTGATCTGCCCTCCTCGGCCTCCCAAAATGCTGGGATTACAGGCATGATGCACCGCGCCCGGCCTCTCTATGTATTTATACTCTACCTACCTTAAAAGTCAAGTCATTAGATGATCTAATATATTCTCATAAATACCCTGTAACCTGCCAATATGCTGTTCTGATCTTTTGGTAGGATCAGTCATAATTCTTAAAGATGTCTGGGGAACTTGAAAAATATCCAGATGGGACTAGCACTCTGTGCCCTGAATAAAGACATGAAAGTGAATGCTATCTCAGAAATAGGAATGGAAGCAATATGAAAGTGCTCTCTTTTGGGATGGGGGCACAAATGTAATGTTCATGGTGTTTAAAAAATTCAATCAGTGCAAGTACAAGTAAAGGCTGAATATTAGTTTCTCAGAAATGGTACCACAAAGTTATCACAGATAGTTCTTCATAATTTCCAGCTTACTGTGCTACTTTTGAAGACAAGTAAAGTCAAAGACTGCCATAAATGGGGCCATTAAAGTAAAACAGAAAACATGTTAGTATAAATGTTGTGTGCAGTTTTGGTTGCCACAACTTGAAAAAGAAAAATACAATTGCAACAACAGGTGTTGTAGAAGAGGAGGGAAGCCTGAAATGTGTGGTAAGATTAAGAATTTGGGGCCGGGCGCGGTGGCTCAAGCCTGTAATCCCAGCACTTTGGGAGGCCGAAATGGGCGGATCATGAGGTCAGGAGATCGAGACCATCCTGGCTAACAAGGTGAAACCCCGTCTCTACTAGAAAATACAAAAAAACTAGCCAGGCGAGGTGGCGGGCACCTGTAGTCCCAGCTACTCGGGAGGCTGAGGCAGGAGAATGGCCTGTACCTGGGAGGCGGAGCTTGCAGTGAGCTGAGATCCATCCATTGCACTCCAGCCTGGGTGACAGAGCAAGACTCCATCTCAAAAAAAAAGAAAAAAAAAAAAAAGAATTTGGGATTCTTCATTGTAAAAATGTAAGCTTTTTTTTTTTTCTAATGGTCTTTGAATATCTGAGAGGCACATCCCGAAATACTGAGAGTAGAAAAGTTTAGAGTACATGACAAAACTTCCTATTTCTTACATTAAGTCCCTCTATCATTTATTTTGTAATAAAGAATCATACAAGGCAAATACATATATATTTACATATGTAAAATGTCTATTCACATATACACATGTAAATATATGCATGTATACATGCATGTGTACATATTTATATCCTTACATATATGTGTGTATGTATACCTGTGTGTGTGTTTGTATGTGTGTGTGTGTGTATCAATTCAGCCTGACAAGAAACAATAGAGGGGGAAAATAAATTTTACTTGAAGGAAAGAAAAGAAACCCATCACCAAATGATGGCAGGTGTCAGAGAAAAAAATGAATCGTTCTGATTGTTTAAAAAATCTAACACATCAGCACTAAACCTTGTTTTGGTCGTGGTTTGACAGATGGCACCCCCTATTTCTAGAGTAAGCCTCCACCCCTTTTCTAAACCTGATGAACTCTAATGTCTTCACCAGGAGTACTTCAAGACGTTGCAAAAATACCACCTTTTCTGGGAACTTTCACCCCATCCTATTATTTGTGTCAAATGTCTTTCAGGTCCTCTTTCACAGCCCTCAGGGCCTGCAAACCTCATCAGAGAACTGATATCCCCACCTGGTGCTGTGCCTTCTCCACCACTTTGAGCACAACACCTTTGTATCTTCAGCACAGTGTCTGGGGTAGAATAGGCATTTACTACATTTGTTGACTGTCTAAATGAATGAACAGTTGAGTGTATAAATCCATATGAACAATACAATTATGTTAACAAATACTCTTTGTTCAGTAGAAACCCTCGACACTTGTAGAATTTAGTGAACCTTGAATCTTCTTAGAAGGCATAAAATGTTTCCATTTGGGATATTTCATCAAACAGGAAATATCTTGATACAGGTTTTCAGATGATTCTGAAGCTATGTCCATGGAGGATATTTTGGCAGTTGTATAATTTTTTGTCGATCTGAACAACTGTGAGCTAAGGGGCAAAGGTGCAACCAGTTCAGCACTTTAACTGAAAGAGCGTACCACAGATTAAACAAAAAAGGTCACTGCTCTTTTATATTTGACTTTCATTCTCCTTTTTTTTTTTTTTTCTAGGGCAGGAAATAGTATTAAGTCACTTAAACAGGAATAAAGTTACATAAATTTTGTAAGTCCACATCAGGACAAAAGGTCTTATCTACCACTTTCTTGTCATGTTTTCTTTTCAATCTTTTCCTTTTGATTTCTTTCCCCTTGTTTTCTTTTGACACTGAACTTTTCTTCTTTCTTTTTTTTTTTTTTTGGTTATCACAATCCCTTTATCAAACCGAATAAGATGCATATTATGATCACTAAATCTCCCATACCTGAAAGGACATCTCATCCAGATGAGGGATTCTTTTATCATGTAGTGCTTTGAACTATCTCAAAGATAGGCACCCAAACCAAACAGAATAGAAGCCCACAACAAAACAGAAATGTATGCAAAGAAGCTCAGATGTGGTTGCTGGAATATTTACAGCAGCTAACAGATTAACCTGTCATACAGCAACTTGACAACTCCAGAGTTGGCAAATGCCGATATGCAAATATGCCCTAAATATATCTACAAATTCTAACCAAAGAACAGACTGCCTTATGTGTGTTTTATATTTGAGAAACAAGCATTTTTAGGCAGAAGAGTTTTTTTATGAGCTCACAACATTATTTTTCCTCATGAAGATCAGGAATTGAGGAAACAAACCATATGATGACATCATATTTATATCTAAATGCTTCATTAATGCATGTGTGTTTATTTTTCCTATACTTACATTCTGTGGATCCCAACATTAAGATTTTAGGTACTATTAATCCTGATTATACCTATGAAAAATGAAATGAGAATGGTATGAATAAGGAGGTGTCCAAGAAGCTGACTTACTAGAGAAGTAAGAGATCATTCAACAAATATTCTGAGGCTCTACATGGGTCAAATTTTAATGTTAGTGCTACAGTGGATCCAAAAAGGAAAATGTGTATTCTAAGACCTCAGAGGACATTCATTGTTAAAAAAGTAAATTAATAAAAACTAATATGTATAAGATAGGTTAAAATAAGTGCCATAAAAACTAACATGTATAAGATAGGTTAAAATAAGTGCCATAAAGGTCTGTTGGTAATGTAAAATTTAAAGCAATTTCAATTCTAAAGTCCACTGGAGGGAAGAGAGACTTAAAGAGATAACTACCTTCTTTTGCCATTCTGTATGTGTTAACTTTGCAAAGCCCACTCACTCACACAATTTAATCACCGGTCCTGTACCCCAATAACCTACAAGGGTCTATCTCCAACCGCATATGTATAACTCTTGGGCTAAGACTCTCATTACCAACTCTTGACTGGGCATCTTCGTGTTAAATGTCCTGAAGACACATCATGCTCAGCATGTTAAAGACTTTTAGTTTCCCTAGCCTCAAACCATCCTTCTGATTCTATTTCAATGAATATTCAAAAGCACCCTCATATGTTCTCACATTCAAAGTCTTACACTTCTAACATTGAACCAAATCTGATTCCTCCCTATTAGGTATGCTGTCCTATGTAAACTTCCAAACTAATTAAACAGCCTGAAAACTAATCTCTTTGTCTCCTTTGTGTGTAGTCAACTATCTTCCCAACTAAATGACCACCTTCTATCTTGCATCACCTGTATTCATACCTGGTTCAATCCCACTAGACTAGAAGGACTATACTTTACTCATAGTTGTATCTGTTCTAGCACAGGATGAGCACTCCATACAAACACATTAAATTGAGTCAAATTCAATGTGGGTGCAGAAATCTCCACACAATTAAAGCCCTCTCAAATTTATTGAAATAGATTGTCTTCAGGATGGTACATCAGGAGGAAAATGAGAACGATAGAAATATCAAAGGATCTTCCATTTAGGCACTGAAAGGAATCCAGAAAAGAACCTCTCAGAGAAAACCTGCGCCAGGCGCAGTGGCTCACGCCTGTAATCCCAGCACTTTGGGAGGCCGAGGTGGATGTATCACAAGGTCAGGAGATCACGACCATCCTGGCTAACACAGTGAAACCCCGTCTCTACTAAAAATACAAAAAATTAGCCGGGCATGGTGGCAGGTGCAGGTAGTTCCCAGCTGCTCGAGAGGCTGAGGAAGGAGAATGGCATGAACCTGGGAGGTGGAGCTTGCAGTGAGCCAGCCTGGGCAATAGAGCGAGACTCACTCTCAAAAAAAAAAAAAAAAGAAAGAAAGAAAGAAAAGAAAGGAAAAACCTGTAGTAGCTAGGGTCCTTCCTTATTTGGAACCACTTTTCAATCTAATACTCTGTGTATTGCTTTTATTTTATTTCTACTACACTAGCAAGTCAGCTTTTAATTTCTGAAAACCTTTTCTTCTGCCCATCCCATGAGATCCTACTCCAGGTCACAGTGAATTTCAGTGACTTAAAGTCTTGAGGTAGCACAAATGTTTTTATAAGATTTCTTCAGGCTTTTAAGAAACTAAATTTTTAAAAATTAAGTTATACTGTGTTTTCAGGGTCAGGAGTTTTCTCTCATGTTGATACTTTTATATTAGATCATAACTTTCCTGAGTTCTCTTTTATTTTATAGCCAAATGTTCAGTTGGACTCCAGGTGGCGAGTATGCAAGGCAGAATTGGAAAAAGTTGAGGTTAAGAATTATGTCCAGCAGATTATTTGGCATGCTTCAATAAATAAATCTTCCAATCTCCAATATGCAGAAATATTTTTCAAGTCACTCGAGTTGTAACAAAATCATAAGGCTTCAATTCTACAATGAAACAAATATCTTCATGTGTGTGCATCTATGTATGATTTCAACAAAAATTTATTGAGCACCAACTACATACAAAGAACAATGGTAGACCAAAATATACTAAAACATGACCTGTGTCCTCAGAGAGAATATATTCCCCTACGAAAAGTGTTCCTTTTCACAAGCAAGGCTTACATGGAACATCTTAAATTTCCTTTTAAAAAGCTAACTAATCAAATAGAACCACTATTTTAAGATGATTAAGAGACGACGTTTTCAGAACACTGATGCTACAGTAATCTAACAGTAATGAAGAAGTCACTCTCCTCAAGGATAAGAATGATTATGAAAGTCCCTTCTCCTACTAAAATTCTACAATTCAGTGAATATTAAACCACCTAATAAAGATGAATAAGGAAAATTATACTGTTATCCTTTATAAGGGTCTATGAAGAAACAGTGTTATTCGGAGATACCAGGCAAAAGTGGTATTTGTTGATATTTGACACATTAAATGAATATTGATGCTTTCAACTTTGCTTTGTAAAAACATGTTTCATGGTGAACAGATTTAAAAATCCTTGAATGTCTTCCATGCTGTAAATCAAATAGGTCAATACTTTGGACAAACTGCCTCTGTTCAAACTGCTTAGGTCAATTCTCTAAATCACATTCATAATAAAGAATTGAATTCCCCTAGATCAAAAAATCAATTCTACACTGCATGAAACTTATACCTCAATTTAAAAGAATAAAAATATCTTATTTGAAATATATTTTTATATAATGTTATTAAACCAACTGATATTCAATCAAACATCTACTAAAGCAATTGTATATTTCTAGCATTTGAGAAAATTCTGGAAGAAATGAGAGCAAAATGTTTGATGTTAAATAATAAATGTTTTTATATTTAGCACTAGGCACAAAATCTCTTTAAGATATAAAGTAACTGTGTCAGGTGAGATCACGCCACTGCACTCCAGACTGGGCACAGGAAAAAAAATAAAAGCAAATGAAGTAACTCTCTAAACTTCAAAGTAAAATCTGCAAACATTTCCAGTCAGTGATCAAACATTCTTGGTGCAAAGTAAATCTGCTGCTATAGATAGTTATCCCTCAGAGAGTGAGTACCTTAGGTAACCCCGTTGTGCCAGATGTGTAAAGAACGTACAGTGGGTGTTCTGAAAGAACAGGAACACAGTCATGTGATTGGGCTTTTGCCATCTCTTCATCCCAGTCAAGGTCACGACCTGGAGCCAAAGGAACCGCCTCCTACACAGGAAAAATATAAGAGTATGTACTGTAATAGGAGATTAAATCAAGAGAACAAAAAGTAGCTAAATCTATGTAAGTCCGAGCATCTGACTGAAAATCTAAGCCTATAATGGCGCTAAACATCAGATTTATGACTAAAAAGCTCAAGTTCATGATTCAACATAAATGTTTATAAAAAGTCCAAAGGTTTTATATTCACTTCAACTAAACTGACAAAAAAACATGTTTCATTTAAATCTAGAGATATCCTTTAGAAATTCAGTATAATGTAGTAATGTTTCCATCAACACTCATAGCTTAATTAACAAGGTTTCATGTTTTTATAGATGTATGTACACTAATAACTTTATAAACTAATTTTTATTTTCCATAGCCTATTTCTTTTACTTTGCATTTATCATCTTTACAATGATGTGTCAACTAAGCTAATAAATTTCTCTTCATACAATGGCCTTTAGGAGTAACACCACAGCTACCTTTCCAAATAAGAAAACATTAATTCTTCTTCAGGAGTAGGGAAGAATTCTACTATTGCTTTTTGAAGACTAAAATCCAGTATTGAAATTTAGTCAGAGTCTGTGATATATCCAAAATACGATCCAAATTTTACTCCTTCTAGATCATTCATTATTGTGGGAGAAATATTTTTTTCCTTTTTTTGTTTCAAGAACCAGGCTCTGTGTTGTAAACTTTGTGATAATAGAGTCATGAGTTAAACAGATACATCTTTAAAGAAATTAAACAGACTTCTTTAAAAACAGTGACAATGAAATGACCAGATGGGTGAAAAGCAGGGAAGTGGCTGATGGAAAAGTTACTCTGATGGGGAATTACAACTATTTAAGTAAAGTTAATGCCCATTAAAAGTCTGTTTTTTTCTTAGATGTTAGCTGAGCTCAAGATCACACATCAGGAAGTTTATAATTGGCGAACATGTTAGCATAAGCACAAGCAAAGTTATATAACCCTCAATGAAAGTTAATGCGATCTACTATCTAGAGATGTGTGTAACCATTTCATTAAAGTGATTCCTGAGATAAGCCCAAAGATTGAAAAATTTAGAAAAGACACTTCCATTTTCTAGGTTGCTTAATACATTAATCATGGTTGTAAAAACTGTTCATATATTTAAATAGGTACATTTACCAATTAATACTCCAAGATAACATCACAAATATGATGCCTGTATGAATAAACACATTTATAGCTAACACATTTATAGCTGAATTGAAGACCCTTCATCAAGTTGAAGTTTCAGGCCAAACTGCTTTCTCCAGCCCCACCCTGATAGGCACTGGCTCTGCCATTTAGATAAACAAAATAGTTGATTATGACCAAATTATATGTTTCCATTTCTTTTTATACAATGGATAAAAGCAACTAATTGCAAATTATCAAACTTTTGACAACACAGAGATCTATAAAAATCATCACACTGCAAAATAAAAACATCAATTAAGTGATCACAACAATAATTACAGGGTTGATAATTTTTATGGGCCTCTAATGAAATTAGGACTTCAATAAATGGTTATTCTTCAGGCTAAGAAACAGAGGTACATGTAAAGGAGATCTGACAAAGGGAGAAAACAAAACATTTTCACATATATGCATTTACTTCTATAGATATGTCTTTCCTAATTCTTGTAATTCTTAAAAGGCAGTATTGGGAGAGCGTAGGGGTGTAATATCCTTTGATTCCATCACTGCTTGCCTGAAGCTTAGGTGTGGCAGCCAAGTTTTTACCTCCTCTTACAAAAATGCAATCCCGGTTAATAAGACACCCCGCTGAGCCTTTGTGTCTCTCTAAATCCAAAGCAAAGCCATTCCACTGGGCTTAGTTACTGCCTAAACAGCAGGTCTACTAGAAAGAACAAGAGATTTCTACAGCCCTCATCTATATTACAATAGAGGAAAGGGCCTGCAGAAAAAGAGAGAAGCTGAGAAAGTAAGCTAGTTATTGGAGGGGAGCAGGCAGTTAATCTCTATTAAGAAGAAAAGAGAGGCCGGGCGCGGTGGCTCAAGCCTGTAATCCCAGCACTTTGGGAGGCCGAGATGGGCGGATCACGAGGTCAGGAGATAGAGACCATCCTGGCTAACACGGTGAAACCCCGTCTCTACTAAAAAATACAAAAAACTAGCCGGGCGCGGTGGCGGGCGCCTGTAGTCCCAACTACTCGGGAGGCTGAGGCAGGAGAATGGCGTGAACCCGGGAGGCGGAGCTTGCAGTGAGCTGAGATCCGGCCACTGCACTCCAGCCTGGGCGGCAGAGCGAGACTCCGTCTCAAAAAAAAAAAAAAAAAAAAAAAGAAGAAGAAAAGAGAACAGACTTGCATTAGAAAAAACTGAATAAGGAACATTGATATCCTCCATATGCAATGTGTTTATAGTGAAAGAAATATCATATGTCTTTTTGGTTACAAGTCATTAAACTGGAGTTTAAATCCTGGTTCTGCCACTTATTAGCCGTGACTTTGGGCTATGACCTCTCTCCATTACTCAGTTTCTTTATCTCTAAAATAAGGCTAGTAACATCTATTTCATTGGTTTGTTAGAATTAAATAAGAAAAAAATATTTGGAAGTACTTAGCATTGGGCCTAGAACTTAGTACCTCATAAGTTCTGTGCAAACTACATATTAATGTGAACAGCACACATATACTCATATATGCATACACTGTGTGTGTGTTCCTGCCATCCCTCTAAACTGTTCTTACCCAAGGCCTTCTATATTGCTGATTTTGCAATACCTGATTTAAACAGCAAAGAAGCTTTTTTTTAAAAAAAGTGCTTGAGGTCTTCTGAAAGAAACTTAAAATTCTTCTTCAAGATCATAAGAACATTAAAACCATTAAGTGCAGCAGATCATGAACCACAGACTACTAAAACTTTATACAGGAATTTAATGTGGTAATGGGAATTGCTTGGTGGTAATCAAAATGATGTATTTTTAATACTCTGTTCTCATATCTTGTCATTTAAGTATTTTCAAATAAAACTTGTTAAGAGTTCTACAAATTGCACATGATTCTTTAAGTCTTGCAATTTCACTTCTGCAAAAAAAAAAAAAAAAAAAAAAAACTTAATCTGCTAGAAACCCAAGTTGATGTCAACATAAATAGCTAAAGATTTGCTTGGGTGAAGAAATAAGGTGATCATCTGTTCAAAGTTACAGAAAAAGTACCGTAAATTGTATTCATTGGTATATTACACTGTTCTCCCTTCCTTCATGGATTGCAGAATAATGTATCTACTTAGAATATTCATGTTTTGTTTTCCTGAGCATGGTTTTATTTCTAGCCTAAATACTTTTCTAAATTTTAAGAAGATGTTTGCATTCAAATTAGTCACACCACTCCAAGAGTCAGGAGAGCTGAGGGATTAAGCATACAGTCAGAGTGCATACATTCAAATCTCGACTCTGGAGCTTTCAAACCGGGCAAGTTGCTTTATCTCCGTGTTCACTGGAGTCCTCTTCTATTAAAATAGTAATAATATTATCATCTAGTTAATGGAGTTACCAGGAAGATTAAAAAATATATTCATTAGTAGAATGTCTTATAAATCATACGGTAAGCAGTCAATTCGTGTTTGTTGTTATTATTATTGTTAATATAATCCGAGCTAATTAAAAACACAACAATAGCAGTATACATAGAATCCAATTCATTAATCTCACACATGTTTCTGTGTTTCAGTCTTTTGGTTTTAGGCTAGATTTTCATGAAGTCAGTAGGTCTTATTCATATTTTTTTAGAAATAACAATGACATTCAGCAATATACTTAATAGTTTATAAATCAAGTGTATCTTTTAAATGGTAAAAACTAAAATCATTTTTAGCATATTAACATTAGCAAGAACCAAATTCAATATTCAGATTACCATATTTGGACGATTATAAATGAGAATTTTCTCTGGTTTGTGTTGTCCTATTTTTAGCGCTTCTTCTACAAGTGGTACGTACTCTACCCTCCTTCCAGGTTCAATGCCAAATGATGCTGTAACAACCACCTTGGGCTACAATTAAAAAATAATAATGGAGAGAAAGCTTTAACAATGTTAATTAGGGTAATCACAATATTTTAGTTGCGGACTGGCAATTTAACATTTCTAAAGAAATATCTGAATGATTCTGTTTTCTACTGAATGGTATGAAAATGAATAAACCATTTGTAATTGTTATAGACTTAACCACTTCTACATAAATCTCACTTACCTGTTCAAAACTGCATACTCAATGATGTTTTTGACTCATATGTATGAAATGTATAAATCCCTTTCAAATAATTCATTAAGCCAGGTGGATTTGCCATGAACTAGTACAATGCAAATCTTGAGGCCCTTTACTTGCAAAGGCCCCAGTAAGAGCTGGCTGCTGCTGAGGTTGTAGCAGCATTTCATAGGTTTTCTGTATGTTTCTCTTCTAAATGCCTAAAGAGACTGCAGCAGAAAAAGACGCAAATCTCCAATAACTTATAATATTTTTTCTAATTCTAAATATATATTCATATTCACCAAATATTACATTATATTATTTTCTTAAAAAGGCTCCCAAATGATTAAAGTTTCAAGCCCCACAAAGCCTAGACCTGCCCCTGTCCTTAAGATACACTTTGTACTCTTTACCTGGCAATTTGCTAAGTCATTCTTCAAGACAAACACAGGTGTAGGCAAAATGTATCCCTGTTGGGAACCACAGCTTATGTCAATCTCTCTTCTTCAGTATATTCTGGACATGCCTCAAATATTCAGTTGTAGTCAGTGTTCATACATCTCTACTACTGCACAGTAAGCTCTATAAGACCAAGTTTGAATGCCATTTATTTTTGTGTTTCCTATACCTAGCACAGTGCTTGGCATGTCATGAGCTTTCAGCAAACATTTGTGGAACTCATTAATTTGCAGAAAAATAAGTCCTCATATTTTTAAGTATATTGTTTCTTCACTAAGAAATCCAAAGCAAAAGAGACAGATAATAAATTATTCAGAGGGCAGAAAATTGACCCAAGGTATTGCATGTATTCCTGAATTCTGATTTCTAGTTATAATACATTTCATCTAGGAAAGGTTTATACTGTGCTAAATATATGCATATATAGTATTGTCTGCTTTTTGAATATAATTTAATATTCATGGAACTGAGGCTCAGTGCAATTACATAGTTTGCCCCAGGTTACAAGTGGCAAAGGCAGAAGGAAGGCCAGTTCGGTCTGGTTGCAGAACGTCTTTCCACCATATCAAGTTGCCTTAAAACAAAAGAGAAAAAAAAAAAAAAAGCAAAAAGTCTTGTTTCCTTTTATTATATTTTTAAAGGTCAGACATTTGAAAATAATTCACATTTTAATATCTGTAATATGCACAAAAATAGCTCTAGACAGCATTCCTTAAAATTAGAATTCTGAATAAACAAAAGCAAGCTACATATCAGATTAGGAGCATATATAGAATATATCAAAGTTTGAATAATTTAATAAAGTCAAAATTAGACTTCTCCTCTGAAAAAAATAATTCCTTTCATATTTCTATTAACAGTCTTATTGGAGATATTGAGTCTAGACTGACTTGTTAGAATACATCATTTCCATCTTCTATAAAAATAAAACTTTTTCTTTAGCCTATTTATCTGAAGATCATGACATCAAAACCATTCCTAATTTCAACTACACACTAATTTTACCTAACTATCTCAGATATACATCTCTATCTCCATCTTCTCTCCTTACATTTGACCTGCCCAATTGCCTTATCTATAAAAGCATTTATTGCAGAAACCCCTTAACAAAGGAGTCTTAGGGTGTATGTGTGTGTGTGTGTGTGTGTGTGTGTGCGCGCACGTGTGTGTGTGTGTGATGGATGAAAATTCCTTAAATGGTATACCATAACTTTTGTAAATTCTTATTTTTTTTACATATTGTAATTTCCCTATATCTTATCAGAATTTTTTAAAGTTTCATTTGCAAGTCACTGACTGATATTTTTTCCCCAGATTTTCTTCATAGGCATTAACTCAACATGTTTAAAAAGAAGAAAAAAAAAACGATAAAAAGGACCCAGATGGTTTGTCCACAAATCAGCATTCTTATTTTAATAACTAACCTATTACAAAATAAAGTGAGATATGCAAAGCCTGACTCTATATCTAGCACTCAGGGGGGCTTCAGTATATATTACCTCTCTTCCCATTAAGAATGTCTTGTCTTGGGCTTCTAAAATTCTAAAGGTCAACCATCTCGTACTCTGATAGGCAGCTTCCTTCCTGAATCTTCCCAGAGTCCTTTTTCCCCTTCATATTGCCCACCGTTTTACAAACAGATCACCTATCAAAGGTTTTTATTACAGCTTCCAGCTTCACTCCTACTCACATACTGCAAGACCTGCCTCTTCTTAACATTGCTTCAAACGTGACACTCGCCTGTTCAAAAACTTTTACTCGTTAACAGAATCCAGTTCAGACAAAACCCGCCTTTGCAAGCTCACCGTCTCTCACCTTTTAGTCATAATGGTCTACTTACTGTCCTTCCAAATGAATTTTACCGTTTCCTGTCTCTACTGCTTGACTCACATTCTTTTTCTGCCTTTTTGGATCCTAATATGTCATTCTTTTCAACTAGCTGAATCTTAGCCAAGATCTAACTCGAATCTCACCTCCTTCAGGAAGCCTTCTTTGGCCACCCCGACTGAAAGAAAGTGTTCCTTCCTCTAAATCAGGGGTCTGCAAACTATGGTTGTGAGCCAAACCCAGCACAAAGCCTGTTTCTGTAAAATATTATTGACAAATACACACCTATCGTGTACGTGTTGTCTAAGGCTGCTTTTGTGCTACAACAGCAAAGCTGAGTAGGTACAATAGAGATTGTGTCATCCATACTGCCTAAAATATTTACTGTCTGGTCAATTACAGTTAAAATTTTTCTAACTCCTACACTAAATTCATAGATTAATAATAGTTAACATTTTTTAAATGAGTACTATATACCAGACACTGTGCTGTTTTAGATTAAATAGCTCAATGATATTTCACAACAGACTCACTAAATTGTTATTTTTGTACCCCATTCAAACATATACACTTCCTGGATGTATATGGATTGTAAAACTAGTTATATGTCCCATCCATTTGATAAGTATTACTTATTATCCAGTTGCAAAGACAGTATCAGGAACATAGTGGGAGCTTAATCAAATATATGTTGAATGAACAAATTAGTTATTAGTCCTTTTCTTCTATGTCTTATACACCCAAATATATGACAAGCTAAGTTGGAAAGCATACACCTTCTCTTATAGTTTATATTCCCCAAGGCACCCAGCAAGATGTCTTTCACATAGAACTGACTTTAAAACAAATGTGTGATTAACAGATGTACATGAAATAAAAAACATTTTATTTATGTATTTATTTAAATAGCTTGAAGTCTGGGCTTTTAGGGTACCTGTCACCCAAATAGTGTACATTGTATCCAATAGGTAGCTTTTCATCCTTCATCCCCCTTCTAGTCTTCCCCTTTCTGGATTTCCAATGTCCATTATACCACTCTATATGTCTTTGCATACAGATAGCTTAGCTTCCACTTAACAGTGAGAACATGAAGTATTTGGTTTTCTGTTCCTGAGTTGTTTCACTTAGGGTAATGTTCTCCAGTTCCACCCAATTTGCTACAAAAGATATTACTTTATTCTTTCTTATGGCTGAGAAGTATTCCATGGTGCGTGTGTGTGTGTGTGTGTGTGTGTGTGTGTGTGTGTATCTCACATTTTCTTTATCCACTCTTCAGTTGGTGGTCACTTAGGTTGATTACATATCTTTGAAATTGTAAATTAAGCTGCAATAAATGTATGCATGTAGGTGTCTTTTTGGTATTTAATATAATGATTTCTAGAAAAAGTATATATCAACCATCCTATTTGAAGGGAGGCTCTAACAGGTGTAGATCATTCTCAGATGATTCCTCCACAGATGAATATGATTTCCCAAAATAAAGCACTTACCTTTACATGATCAATGCGACTGCTTAGTTCTTTGGAAGCAAATCCTCCAAATATGAGACTGTGGATGGCACCTATCCTTGCACATGCCAGCATGGCATACATTGCCTGTGGGATCATGGGCATGTAGATAACGACAGTGTCACCTTTCTTGATGTCATGCTTGACGAAGACACCAGCCAGCTTGGAGACCTATGCCAAGACCATTAGATCAGTAAAGTGTTTTTTGTATTGTTTCACTAAACTTCTAACTTAAGGTAGTAATACTAGAAGATGATCAGCCACTTGGCAGTAGATTAAAGGAGCCTGAGTAACACGTATTTGATGATGATGATAATGCTTTAGATAGTGATAGTAATAACAATTGTATTATAATCATTAATTATAAACCAACCTACTATTATTGTATCACATAAACTTTACGACTTAAGACTGCTTAACTATTCATGTTACAACATTTTTACTGAGCAACTATTATATACCAGATATGGTATGTAAGAGCTGGGAACACAACACTGATAAATGAAAGACACAGAATTGCCCCTGTAGAGCCTGTGTATTGCAAAAGGTGAATCTGTCAGGTGAAGAGAAAAACAAAATAATTACAAATTTAGATAGATGTTGGGTAACTGTTAAAGGAAACAAGTATACATTAATAAAGAAAACATATCATTAAACACTAATAAAGCAAATAAGACAAATTCTACTATATTATTATTTACATCTAAAGATAAGGTAATAAGTCTCAGAGCTTATTAGCTCTGGTAAACAGCTATTAGCTAAGGTAAACAGCTAACCAAGGTCAGAGAACTAGCAAATGCTGTAACAGGACACGATCACAGGTCTTCCGACCTCATATTCTTTGCTCTTTCTATGCCTTTATAGTTTTTTTTACACTAATCATTTATACAAAGTGACTTCCCTCTGTATTTGGATGAAATGTACACAGTTCTTTTTACTTTTGTGTTTTTGAGACCTCAACATATAAATGTCTCTTCCCTGTAACGTGTTTTTGTACTTTCTAGCAATAAAGACAAAACAGATCATAAGCCCACACACGATAAAATTTCTTTCAAGAATCCTTCCCATTGGCAATTATAGCGAGCTGTGGGAAGCACCCCCAGACCTTAATGAATAATTAGCTCAACATTCTTTTACTGAAAATATATATATTAAGTATCTATTGTATGTCAGATACTGTTTTCAGATACTTCAGATAAGTAAACAAGATAAGACAATAATCTCTACCCTCCAAATACTTATACTTTAGCAGAGAAAATACTTACAATAAGCAATAAACACAAGAAATAAGGAAATTATCAATTATGGTAAAAAATCTTCATTCATATGGGGGAGGGAAGTAGAGCAGAGTAAAGAGGATTTGGAGTGCAGGGGAAAGTGTGGATGCAATTCTCACTGGGACCTCACTAAGAAAGCAACAAGTTTAGTAAGACATGTAGAAGGTTGGAAAAAAGTGGATATCTATAAGTGTACTATTTTAGGCAAAGAGAAAATCAGTGAAGTACAAACATGTAAGAGGTAAAGGAGATCATATGTGATGCAATCAAGGAACAGCAAGGAAACCAGGGGCCTGGAGAAGAAACAAGTGACAAGACAGTTGTCAATCAGATCAGGGGACTAAAGGGCCTGTATGGGCGTGGTGGGCAATTAGAAGGACCATGGCTTGACTTTGAATGTGACTGCCCAACACAATGAAGAGAGGAGGCTTGGGAGAAGAAATTAGGCCACACGGCTATTTATGGTTCCTTTCATTTTTGTCTCTCCTACTTTCAGAACAAGTTTAAAGAATTCTGAATTCTGGCCATTTTTCTCTTTTCTCTTTATTCACTTACTCTGTATAGATGAGGAAAGGTGTGGTCAAGGTTAAAGTCTCTGGTGAAATAAAGTAGAAGCAAAACAAAACAAAAAAAAACATTTTAGTGTTTATTCTACTTTATATTGCAAACTCTATAATTGAGTGCTATGTTTCAGGAACTTCAAAGATGCTAGCAGAAGGTTATGAGAAAGATACACTAAAGTAATAAAAATCATGAACTGGAATTCTATATGGAATTCAAAAAACAAGGCAAAAACTGGAAAGTTATATCCAAACATCTCAGTGTGCAACCCCTGCAGAAAGTGACCATGCTTTGCGATCACATTACTTGGTACATCATTTAAGGTACCACACTGAGAGAGACCAAGGAGAAGAGCTAGTCTTATCCAAAGCTGTGACTTCAGCATCTTGAATTGTGCCAGTTGTTGAATAGAAACGACATTCAAGCAAGTTCCGTACAACAAATAATTCAGTAACTTTATAATCCAGTCTCACTTTACAGTGTTAATGGAAGATGCCCACAAATTTTCTGTCCTCTGAAATAAATGAGATTAAAAAATAACTAAGATCAGAGCAGAACTGAAGGAGATAGAGACACAAAAAAAACCTTCAAAAAAATCAATTAATCTAGGAGCTGGTTTTTTGAAAAGATCAACAAAATAGACTGTAGAAAGACTAATAAAGAAGAAAAGAGAAGAATCAAATAGATGCAATAAAAAACGATAAAGGGGATATCACCACCAACCCCACAGAAATGCAAACTACCATCAGAGAATACCATAAACACCTCTACGCAAATCAGCTAGAAAATCTAGAAGAAATGGATAAATTCCTGGACACATACACCCTCCCAAGACTAAACCATGAAGAAGTTGAATCCCTGAATAGACCAATAACATGCTCTGAAATTGAGGCAATAATTAATAGCCTACCAACCAAAAAAGTCCAGGACCCGACAGAGTCACAGCCGAATTCTACCAGAGGTACAAAAACAAGCTGGTATCATTCCTTCTGAAACTATTATAATAAATAGAAAAAGAGGGAATCTTCCCTAACTCATTTTGCGAGGCCAGCATCAACCTGATACCAAAGCCTGGCAGAGATACAACAAAAAAAGAGAATTTCAGATCAATATCCCTGATGAACATAGGTGCAAAAATCCTCAATAAAATACTGGCAAACCGAATCCAGCCACACATTAAAAAGCATATCCACCACGATTAGGTTGGCTTCATCCCTGAGATGCAAGGTTGGTTCAACATATGCAAATCAATAAACATAATCCATCAGATAAACAGAAACAAAGACAAAAACCACACGACTATCTCAATAGATGCAGAAAAGGACTTTGACACAATTTGACAGCCCTTCATACTAAAAACTCTCAATAAACTAGGTATTGATGGGATGTATCTCAAAATAATAAGAGCTATTTATGACAAACCCACAGCCAATATCATACTGAATGGGTAAAAACTGGAAGCATTCTCTTTGAAAACTGGCACAAGACAGGGATGCCCTCTCTTACCACTCCTATTCAACATAGAGTTGAAAGTTCTGGCCAGGGCAATCAGGCAGGAGAAAGAAATAAAGGGTATTCAATTAGGAAAAAAAGAAGTCAAATTGTCCCTGTTTGCAGATGACATGATTTGATATTTAGAAAACCCCATTGTCTCAGTCCCAAATCTCCTTAAGCTGATAAACAACTTCAGCAGAGTGTCAGGATACAAAATCAATGTGCAAATTCACAGGCATTCCTATACACCAATAACAGACAAACAGAGAGCCAAATCATGAGGGAATTCCCATTCACAATTGCTTCAAAGATAATAAAATACCTAGGAATCCAACTGCCAAGGAATGTGAAGGACCTCTTCAAGGAGAACTACAAACCACTGCTCAACAAAATAAAAGAAGACACAAACAAATGGAAGAACATTCCATCCTCATGGATAGAAAGAATTAATATTGTGAAAATGGCCATACTCCCCAAGGTAATTTATAGATTCAATGCCATCCCCATCAAGGTACCAAGGACTTTCTTCACAGAATTGGGAAAAACTACTTCAAAGTTTAGATGGAACCAAAAAAGAGCCTGCATTGCTAAGGCAATCCTAAGCCAAAAGAACAAAGCAGGAGGCATCATGCTACCTGACTTCAAACTATACTACAAGGCTACAGTAACCAAAACAGCATGGTACTGGTACCAAAACAGAGATATAGACCAATCGAACAGAACAGAGGCCTCAGAAACAACACCACACATCTACAACCATCTGATCTTTGACAAACTTGACAAAAACAAGAAATGGGGAAAGGATTCCCTATTTAATAAATGGAGCTGGAAAAACTGGCTAGCTATATGTAGAAAGCTGAAACTGCATCCCTTCTTTACACCTTATAAAAAAATTAATTCAAGATGGATTAAAGACTTAAATGTTAGACCTAAAACTATAAAAACCCTAGAAGAAAACCTAGGCAATATCATTCAGGACAAAGGCATGGGCAAGGACTTCATGACTAAAACACCAAAAGCAATGACAACAAAAGCCAAAATAGACACATGGGGTCTAATTAAACTAAAAAGCTGCTGCACAGCAAAAGAAACTACCATCAGAGTGAACAGGCAACCTACAGAATGAGAGAAAATTTTTGCAATCTACCCATCTGACAAAGGACTAATATCCAGAATTTACAAAGAACTTAAACAAATTTACAAGAAAAAATCAAACAACCCCATCAAAAAGTGGACAAAGGATATGAACAGACACTTCTCAAAAGAAGACATTTATGCAGCCAACAGACACATGAAAAGATGCTCATCATCACTAGCCATCAGAGAAATGCAAATCAAAACCACAATGAGATACCATCTCATACCAGTTAGAATAGCGATCATTAAAAAGTCAGGAAACAACAGGTGCTGGGGAGGAGTGGAGAAATAGGAACAGTTTTCCACTTCTGGTGGAAGTGTAAACTAGCTCAACCATTGTGGAAGACAGTGTGGCAATTCCTCAAGGATATAGAACTAGAAATACCATTTGACCCAGTCATGTCATTACTGGGTATATACCCAAAGGATTATAAATCATGCTACTATAAAAACACATGCACAGGTGTGTTTATTGTGGCACTATTCACAATAGCAAAGACTTAGAACCAACCCAAATGTCCATCAATGATAGATTGGATTAAGAAAATGTGGCACATATACACCATGGAATTCTATGCATCCATAAAAAAGGATGAGTTCATGTCCTTTGTAGGGACATGGATGAAACTGGAAATCATTATTCTGAGCAAAATATCACATGGACAGAAAACCAAACACTGCATGTTCTCACTCATAGGTGGG